GCTTCTTTTGCTCAATAGGTTTTGAAATTCATTCATGTTGTTGCTTGCAGTAATTCATTCCTTTATACTGTTGAGCAGCACTCCATTGCTGAATGGACTACTATATGTTTATACATTCAATTGGTGATGGGTATTTGGGCTGCTTCTGATTTGGGAACTTTTAGGAATAAAGCTGCTATAAATATTAGTGCTCAAGATTTTTGAAGACATAATTTCAATTTTCCTGGATAAATACCAAGGAGTGGAACATCTACCAGGGAGTGAATTTCTTGTCAAAGAATTGGCGTATGATTGATTCTATGAGAAACTGACAAACTATTCTTCAAACAGCTTTCAATTTTCTTTTCCCACTAGAAATTTAGGAAAATGATCTCATCAACATGTGGTATTGGCAATCTTTTAAATTATAGTCATTCTAGTGGGTGTGAAATGGTATCTCTTCATGGTTTTAATTTGCACTTCCTTGATGACGACTGACATGGCTTATTGATCATTCCTGTATCTTCTTTTGTGAAGTGATTTTTTGAGATTTTCACCATTTTTCTTCTTAGATTGGGTTGTCTTTTTATTATTGAGCTGAAGGAGTTATTTATATACTTCAGGATACATTCAAGTCCTTTGTCATATAAATAGATATTGCAAATATTTTCTCCCAGTCTATGGCACAATTATTCATTTTCTTAACAATATATTTTAATGATCAGAAGTTTTTAATTTTGATGAAATCCAATTATGATGGACCGCATGTTTGTGTCCCACCAAAATGCATATGCTGAAACTCTAATCCCCAGTGTGCTGATATTTGAAGGTAGGGCCTTTGAGAGGTAATTAGGTCATGAGGGTAAAGCGCTCATGATGGGATTGGTACCCTTCTAAGAAGAGACAGGAGAGAGGTTTCTCTCTCTCTCTCCCTCTTTCTCTCTCTCAATCTCTCCCATAGGAAGAAGTGAGAAGGCAGCTGTCTACAAGCCAGGAAGTGGGCCCTGAACAGACACCAGATCCACCAGTGCCTTTATCTTGGACTTCCCCACCTCCAAAACTGTGAGAAATAAATGTTTGCGGTTTAAAACACCCAGTCTATGGTATTTTTGCTATAGCAGCCTGAACGTTTTAAGATTACTACTATTTGTGTTCTAAGAAATCTCTGCCCACCCGTGTTGTGAAGATATTACCCTATGTTTACTTCTGGATGCTTTATAGGTCTATGATCCATCTGGAATTAATTTTTGTATATAGTGTGAGGTGGGAGCCAGGTTCTTTTCTCCCCCACACATGAATATCCAGTTGTGTCAGCAACACCTGTTGAGAAGACTAGTCTTTCCCCTTTTGTTAAAAATCAGTTGACTGTATACGTCTATTTCTGAACCTCATTCTGTTAGATTAAGCTATTTGTGCATCGTTACACCATTTTCACACTGCCTTGATTACTGTAGCTTTATAGCATCAGATGTTATAAATTTCTCAATTTTGTCCCTTTTCAAAGTGGTTATTAACACTTCCAAACACTGCATCTCTGAGTAAGTTTTTGAATAAACATCTCAGTTTCCAAAAAAGTGGCTGCTTAAATTTTTATTGCAATGGCCTTAAATCTGTAGAGTGATTTGGGGAGAATGGACATCTTATGAAGTATTGAGTTGTCTAATCTATGAACATAGTGTAGCTTACCATTTAGGTATATTTTTCCCAGTAATATTTTGTGATTTTCAACATAGAGCTTTATTTATTTATTTACTTATTTATTTATCTTATCTTTTTTTTTTTTTAAAGATTGGCACCTGAGCTAACATCTATTGCCAATTTTCCTTATCTTATTTTCCCCAAACCCCCCAGTGCACAGTTGTATATTCTAGTTGTAGGTCCTGGTTCTGCTGTGTGGGACGCTGCCTCAGCCTGGCTCAATGAGCAGTACTAGGTCCACGCCCAGGATCTGAACTGGCAAAACCCTGGGCCACCAAAGCAGAGCGTGTCAACTTAACCACTCGGCCACTGGGCTGGGCCCTCAACATAGAGCTTTTACACATTAAATTTAATCACATTTATTTTATGATTTTTGACGTTATTATAAATGGTATTTTTAGTTCATTTTTAAATATTTATGGTTAGTATATAAAAATAGCATGTTTACTGGTATATTGACTTTGTACCTGTAATCACATTTAATTTACTTATTCTTTCTAATAATTTTTGGCAGATTCTTTAAGCTTTTCTACATAAACAACTATGTTGTCTGCAAATAAAGACAGGTAAGTTCTTCCTTTCTAATCTTTTGCTTTTCTTGGTTTCTTTCATTTACTAAGATCTCTGCTACAATGTTAAAAAAAAAAAGTGGTAAGAGAAAAATTCTGGCCTTGTTAACAATTTAATGGAAAAACGTTCACTATTTCACTGGTAGGTGTGAGGTTAACTAAAGGTTTATCCCACATGCCTTATACATTAAGGAGTATCCTGAAATGAACAGCTGTAAACAGGTACAAAAATGTCAATTTTTCACCTAGTGTGGTTCCCTTTTGCCAAGGTTTGACTGTCTATCTTTCATTACTCTCCAATGCCTTCACACATTTTTACACATACATTATAATTAATCTCAGTAAGAAGCATCGCCTAATGCAAGCTACTCCACCATTACTGAAAACTTCCTTTGAATATTTAATTTCAATTAAGTTCTTAATTTCTTAATAGAATTTTTATTTGCTAGCTCTTTTCCATACCTGTTAGATCTTTTTCTTGAAAGTCTCTGTCCCTCATTCACTTGTCATTCCCTCTCTTGTTTTAAAAAGGCATTAAATGTATTCATTTTACATTCCGTATCTGATTACTCCAGTACATGAGGCACTTACATGCCTGTCACATAATGCTCAAGGTACCTTTTCTTCCTCATACATTTTTTTAAAAATTATTTTTTCAAATGTGAGCTCATCTTCCTTGGAACTTTATCTCTGGGAGTTCTTTGTATCCTGGGTTGAGACTACACTATTCCAGAGGGAATATACATTGATTCCCGGAAACTTGGGCATGCTACCAACATGGATCCATTTTCATTTAAATTCTTGTTTGGCTTTTTCCACCCTTGAAGACTTGGCACCCAGCCTCCATGAAGACCAGCCTATGGCCAAAAATTCTTAGAAAAGACTCTTTTGTTCCTCCACCAAGAGCCCAATAATGAGAAACGCATGTTTTCTTGCATGCGTTCTGTCTTTATAAAATTAGATATTTTTTCTTGCTTTCTGTTTCTCTGAGAGTGTAATCTGTGTAACTCCTGGCTCAGGGCAATGTTCTCTGATTCAACTTCCCACATTGCCCAGGTCCAAAACTTGGTCTCCTGTTCCCAGAGAGTGCAGCTACTAAAATCAAACCTCTGGGCCACCTAGGCTTGCTGGGTGCCCGCAAGACAGCAGCTTCAGGGTTTGAGTTCCACCCTACACTACTGCTCAAGATGGGTTCCCTGCCTCAGGGGAATCCCAACGCTGTCTTATAAACTCAGCCATGCATGTAATACTGCTTTTTCATGTTCAATCCAGTATTTTTAGAATGAATTTTGTAGTGAGAGAATTTCAGTACATCTAGTTTGATATATCGCTAGAAATGGAAATATTCAACATTTACTTTTTAATCTCTCAAGGGTTTTGTTATGACTATTCACTTAGCTAGCTGGCAAATAAGTAAGCTAGATGGGTAACAATGGCTAATAGGAGGGATATTTACTGATGTCTCTGCCTAAAAATACCGAATATGCAATCTGATTTTTTAAAAACAGCTAAGATAAAAAGGAATGAATCTACTGGATAGTCTGCATCCCCCATGAAAGTTTTACTTCTAGAATATTCCAAAGGGTTTCCCTAAAGAGCTGTAAGAGGCATAGCCAATGAAGGAATTGTGAAGAAGAAGAGTGATTGAGGCCTTGTGTTAGCACCTCACCAGTTCTCAAAGCTGTCTTTCATGAATAAAATAAAGCTTGAATGGATCAAAATGTTTCTTGGAAGTTAGCCAGATTTCACATGAAAGGACTTATTTTGCTCCTTTACTATAGAGAGAAATCGCTTAGCAATCGCACATAATGAATTTAATTCCTAAGGCTAAATTACACACTGTAACATGTGGACGATAAAACCTATTTCATCACTTTTTAAATATCCTAATTGCAAAATGTTTAGCACAGTAGCTTTACACATAGCAAACTGCTCATTAAATGGTACCTATTATTATTTCCATATATAAATGTTCTGATGTGAGAAACTAATATCTTTGTAAAGGTTCAATTCAGAGATGGTTTAATGTCCTCGAGGTACTGAGAAAATGGACTCAGGAAAACTCAGCCTGGGTTCCCCATCCTGAGGGAGTTCCCTCCTGAGGTCCGTAGTGCCCGGGTTTCTCCTCAGTTATGACTGCCCAGTTCTCTTGTAGTTTCACACTGCGGTTTATGTGAGTGGGAGCATTTTTTTCTGTGGTGTGACATCCAAGGGGATTCATGTTAGTATAAGAGGGTTACACAGATGGATAGCCTCTGTCCTTAAGGAGGCTATAGTCTGGTGTTGTGATTCTCAACCCTGATTGTACTTTGGAATCACCTAGAAAGGTTTCAAAACAATGACCAACATGCATATGTATATTTTTTCTCCGTATACAGACAGTGGACATGGGGGGCAGAGGCCATGCAATCTTCTTTCCTTGTTCCTTATAGCCAGCCCCTATATGTAGCAGGAATCGATTAAAACATGTTTAAAATTATTAAACAAAAATACTAACACAATCCAATTTTAAAGGCATGCTATTATGTAAATCCTTAGTAAGAGTCACAAATATGGTTGAAACATTAAATTCCTAGGCCCAAAAGAAAGTGCCTGTAACACTGCTCCCAGTGTTAAGTGTGCCAGTTTCAAAGGCCACATCCCCCAAAGTGAAAATAACAGGCGTACCAAAATTAAAAGAAAATTGCAATTATAACACAACTTTGCATTTAGAAATATCTTGTATGATACTGTCACTTACAGAATTTGTCTTACCAATTTAAGATAACCCTCAGCATCCAGAATTAAGTTTTCTGGTTTCAGGTCTCTGTAGATAATACCCAGTCGATGCAGGTAATCAAATGCTTCGGTCACACAAGCAACGCAGAACTTGGAGGTGGGTTCATCAAAGCTGCCTCTGCAATGAGACCATTTTCCCTATTAATACTCTAGACACACCACTTTGTTGTCTGTTCTAGGTGTCAATTATTGCTTTGGTAAACTGATGCAGTATAAGTGTTTTGTAGGGCATCAACACTAACAGGTATTTAAGCTGCCAATGAATTAGACTACTGATCATAAAGACCTTCAGGGGCGGTACTTGATACAAACAAGAACTACTACTTCACTAAAATTAAAATATCTACATCCAAACGATTATTTCTGGTAGCCATGTATGATCATATAAAATAGAAAGATAAGAAAACAAGACTTTTTAGACATCTATGGCCAACTCTGGAGAAAATGCAACGATTTCAATGGAGAGCTTGACCCAGACTTCTGTAAATGATTCCCCGACTAAAAAATGACTCAAATGATCATTTTCATTCTCTGTTTGTATATGTAACAACAACCCACGTAGAAACAGGGTCATAACCTTTTCCTGTTTGGTGCACCTTGATGATATTAGAGTTTCCCTGGGTCAGCACTGTCAGCAGGTTTACATGGTGAATTATGAAAATGTGGAGGTGATTTGTGGCATGGTGTAATAGAAGGGTGTGGCTTTGGAGTGAGAGAAACTGGCTTCAACTCCTGCTTCTTCCACTCACTGTGTCCTTGGGCAAGTTGTTTAGCTGCTCTGAGACCCACATCCCTATCTGTAAAACATTTACTACTTCCTTACCAAGGTTTATTACTTCCTTACCAAGATTGTTTTGAGGATCAGGCACAGTGCATAACAGGTAGTAGGAACTCCTGTTTCTAAATAGATTTGGATTTTCTAAATAGATTTGCCTGTTGAAGTAAAGATGGAAGATGCAAATGCTTTTGCAGGTATCATGCAAATCTCCTCACCCTTCCAGGTTTTCCTCATTCAGATCCATCCCTCAAGATGTTCCTAACACAACACAGTCAACTCTACTCAGATGCTCTAAGGTCTCTGATTACCTAGGTCCGTGATTCTCGACCATGAAAGCATGTTAGAACTGCCTGAGAGGCTGTTAAAAAATCACTTACGAGACCCCATCCCAGATGAACTGAATCATAACCTCTGGCATTTGAGCCCAGCATTTTTACTTTGTAAACGCTCCCCATGTGATTGCAATGTGAAGCCAGGGTTGAGAACCACTGGCCCAAGTAATACTGTCTAAATATTTGGCCTGTCATTAACCTCCACAACCGATTGCAAACCCACTTTTGCATCTCCTCTTCCACTGCCTTTGTCTTCTACTCAAATTCTGCTGTCAATCATCCACAAAGAGACCCAACCCTATTCCAACTTTTCCGCCGAATCTTCTATCAGCTTCTCTTCCCCTCTGCCTTTACAAATTTTGGTCATCTTTAGAGTTTAATTCAAGTCCTTCCTCTACCATCTCCTTTTTCTATCTTTTATCTCCTCTGAGCTGACTATCTACAACACTCATTTGGCATTTAATTACAAATTGTCAACTTCTTTGTCAGATTTAGTTTTTGCATTAAATAATGAAATGTTTTAAAATTGTACATTACATGATCTCCCCAAATAAAATCTCAACTCAGTGGAGGAAAAGTTTATACTTTTTACTCTTTCAGCTAGAAAAGATTACACTGTCTAGAAAACCCCCACACCGTCCACTGTGGAGCCTTGTACCAGGTGGTGCTCAGTAAATACCTGTGGCTTTGCTTGTGTGGAAACCATCCCTTTCGTAAAACTGAATCTTTGCAGACCTCTTACTCTGCTTTTCAGGGAGGGCTTCACCACTCCCCAGCCCTTTCTTCATCTCCCTTCCAGAGATTTAGAATCAGTAACATCCGGGTTTAGACCCACTCTGCCTCATACAAACCATGTGAGCGAGGATAGTTTACACTGTGTCTAGGCCTGGGATTCTTCAATCCCTAACATGCGAATGGCCATGACAGCCTTACAGGGTGCCTATCACATGATTATAATGCCAGCTCAGAAAATACCACTATTACCACTTTATTTTATCAAGGGCTAATATTTTCTTGGAATCATTTCTTAATGACTTTCTTCTCATCTCTTTAAATGATCATGAACAATAGCATCCTTTAGACCAGATGTGAGTAGACAAAAGTTATTGTTTCTAATCCTTTTTCATTACCTGTCTCTTAGTATACTCCATAACTCCCCTCCTAAGCAGGCCTCCAGAAGCATATATACATACTTATTGTCCTTGAAAGTACGATACAATCTGTGAAGACAAATAAAAACATAGTTATTATTAGAAATCTAGTGTTTTTTGATTTTTTTTTTGAGGAAGATATTAGCCCTGAGCTAACTGCTGCCAATCCTCCTCTTTTTGCTGTGGAAGACTGGCCCTGAGCTAACATCCGTGCCCATCTTCCTCTACTTTATATGCGGGATGCCCTGCCACAGCATGGCTTGCCAAATAGTGCCATGTCCGCACCCGGGATCCAAACTGGCAAACCCCGGGCCACTGAAGAGGAATGTGCGCATTTAACCGCTGCACCACTCGGCCGGCCCCAGAAATCTAGTCTTAAAGTCTTGTTACAGTTGCCTAAGAGCATCATGAGTAACATTTTGAACAATGGTCCTCATCTCTTTCCAAATATCCTCCAGCAACACTGGGCTTCCCGCTGAATACTCTGATCTTTCCTCGAGCCTTGCTTTTGCTCATGTTGACCCCTTTACATAGACTGCCCTCCCTCTACCCACAGACTGAACTTCTTACTCTCAATTTTGCTGTAAAAGTGTTATTCATTCCTCAAGGCCAAGATCAGGGGCCACCTTCCTTATAAGGCAGCTCATTATCCTACCTACCAAATGTGGCCTCTCCTTCCTCCAAATACCCAGAGACTTCTGCAGATATCTCCTTTAGGATCTGCCTTGCATAACAGTTATTCATGTGCATGTCTTATGTCCTCTAGTTGGTCTCAGGAAAGTGAATCTGAGACAGAGATTTGAGCAGTAAGTTTAGTGAAGAGGGCACTTGGGAATAACACCCATGGGGAGGAGGGAAGCAGTGCTGGGCAGAGGGACAACTGGGCTATACTCTAGTTTCAACAAAACCCTCAGCTTCAAGGAGCTCTGCCATCATCGGATGCAGGAGGGACCTGGAGAGAGAGTATGATCGCGGGCAAGGTGGTTCTCTTCACTTTAGAGCAACAGCCAGAGAGGGACTGAGCTAAAGTCCTCAGCTGGCAACACCCTCAGAAGCTGGGGGAATGACAGCCTCAATCCTGACGTGGGACGCAGGCAGATACCATATTTCAACACTGACTGAAAGCAGGTTCTGGGTCTTAATCAAGAGACCTCCCTTTTCTCCCTAATACCACGCCCAGGCTACAGCCAACAGTAGAGCAGCCATATCACGTGCAGACGGCAAAAGTAATCTAGTAAAGTGGTTCAGTGTGTGCTCTGGAATCAACCTGCCAAGGCCTGAATTGCTGATTGGCCATTTATTAGATATGCAACCTCAATTTTCTTACTGTTCTTGTTCAATAAGGATAATAACATTTACCTGATTGTTCTATTATGAAAATCAAATGAATATTTATATGACTATATATGAATATGAATACATACTCATTTGATTATATATTGATTATATATTGATGTATATTATTGATATATATTAAGGTAATATATATAAAATAAATAAATATTATATATTCTATTACATATATAAGATATATATAAATATATTTTGGTTAGAAGAGTGCCTGGAACATGTTAATTTCTCAATAAATGTCATCATTAGTATTTATTCTTAACATTATTATTGCCCTACTATACACCAGGCATTTTGCAAAAAGTTGGAAAGGAGAAAATGAGTAAAATCTAATCCATGCCCTCAAGTTGCTCATGACAGTTTGTTAACGGATGATTGACAAAAAAAAGGGGGGTGCATTCTGGGAACATGATTAATATAAAGAAAATTGGGTGACTCTATTGCCAGCATTGCCAGGGTTCAGACTTCCGTTTTTTTTTTCTTTTTGAGGAAGATCAGCCCTGAGCTAACATCTGCTGCCAATCCTCCTCTTTTTGCTGAGGAAGACTGGCCCTGAGCTAATGTCCATGCCCATCTTCCTCTACTTTATATGTGGGATGCCTACCACAGCATGGCTTTTGCCAAGCAGTGCCACGTCCACAACTGGGATCCAATCCAGCGAACCCCAGGCTGCCGAAGCAGAACATGCACACTTAACCACTGCGCCACCAGGCCGGCCCCCAGACTTCTTTTTTAGTCTTAAAAAAAATGGGTCTGGGAATACGGATAGGCCGGAAAATTCTCTTAAGGCATTTGATCAAAAAGTATAAATGCTATTTATTATAGGGGCACTTTACATCACCCAGAAATCACTAATGCTACACTCTGGGGCATTGAGACATATATGAAAATACATGAAAATCTATGTCTTAACTGGCCTACACCACTAACCCATGAATTCACAAGTAAAGAGAGCCATGGCCTACAATAACATATTTCTCTTCCAAACTCTGGTGATAGCTACAGAAAGAACAGTAACTATTAGGAGGTGGCTCTTTTGGCATCGAGGCACTGCTAGGACCATAGTCCGTTGCTCCTCAGCAGCCTACATGTGCCCAAATGCCACTTCTTGCAGAAATTCAACAGCAGCATACCCCCTGAGGGGTTTTGAATGAATTCTTGCTTCCCAAATTCTGCATTAGGTCTGGATTAAATAATCAGTTCAAATTATTCCACAATAATTTTATATTCTCTCTTTCTCTCTCTCTCTCTCTCACACACACACACACACACACTTTCTTGAGATTTACTCAAGAATAAAAAAATCTGGACTCTTGCCTCTAGATCTCAAATTTCTCATATTTTATGTATTGTTTCTATGACTGGGATGGAGAATTCAGAGTGGGGCCTCCTCTTTCTCTTCTGTCCTCTTGCAAGGAAATACTCAGAAGAGCCTAAAACCCTAAATTCTGGGTGCCAATGTGCACTTACTTCACAATGAAGGGAGAACACAGCTCTTCCAGGATCCTCTTTTCTGAGTAGACGTGCTCCTGCTGCTTAGTGTCAACTATGTGCTTCTTCCTTATACACTTCATAGCAAAAGCGACATTCTCATTTTTTACCTTAACCTACGTAAGAAGAGAAAGATCCTTCAAAATTAACTTACTAGGAAAGAGTTACAACATCTACAAAAAATATGTTAACTAATGAGAGTTAAAATTCTTTCACATTTAAATAGCAAGTAAGCTTTTAACCACTTATCCTGAAAAACTGAGTTTTTTCAGTATACACACTTCTCTTTTGTTGTAATTTCCCAAAGAGCTTACATATCTGCAACACGGTTCTAAAACACTGGTATTGAAAGAAGAAAAAAACTCTAGTTAGAAGATTCAATGTTTAGAAATCGATTCAGTTTCAAGTGTGCGACATGAAAAACTGACCAGAATTGCCAAAAATTATTCTGTCTTTATAGTCACTTCTTTGATTTTCAAAACATTAAATCAAGATCCATATCCGCACTATCCAATGTGACAGCCACCAGTCACATGAGGTTATTTAATTTTAAGTTAATTAAAATTAAAAGTTCAGTTTCTCAGTTGCACCAGCCACATTTCAAATTCTCACCAGCCATATTCAGCTAGTGGCTGCCCAATTGGACAACATGGATACAGAACATTTCCATCAGAGCAGAAAGTTCTATTGGACACTCTGCTCTAGATGGACAAATAAAATTTTCCCTTAAAAGGAAACAAAAAATTTTAATAGGTAACTATTCAGATGGGCTTAAAACTCCATAAATAGACTATATTCGACAAGTAATGAAATTGTGCAGAAATGGCTGCACCCCATATTTTGCTCACATTTGCCACTAGTGCTGCCGGTGACTTTTAAATCAATGGTGGAATTATTGTTTCAATCATTATTATCTAACTATATAAGAAATAGAACTCAGCATTGTTAATTCAATCCTTTTGCCAAGATCCTTGATGAAAAATACCACTGCAGATGGATACTGCCCTTCTCTCTCCACATGGCAGAAGAAACATTACAAATACTCTTTGGCCTATTAAGAAACTGTTTCCTCCCCCCTCACCCATCCGAGATGAAGTACTGACTGTGAAGGGTACTAGCCAGAGTGTCCTGGAAGCATTTGAGATCTGCTCGTGCCCAGGGCCATCCAGCAGACGGAGGTGTCAGCTTAGTTCCCAGAGGCTAAGGTACAATGAATCATTAAAAATCCGCTAGGCAAAGACGGGCGTGGTAACTGCCAAGGGTTCAGAGTCATCTGTACCCGGTAAGGTCACAGATCTCCATTCTACAGTTTCCTCAGAGGACTTGATCTGACAGCACCACTCTGCTGCTCCTCTGAAGCTGGTGATAAAGCTCAGAGAGGTGGTGATGTGGAAGATGCAGCCGAAATCAGGCCATAAGTTCCCAGCTGTCCTGATCAACACTACAGGAGGCTGCTCTTCAGACATCCCTTGCATTCATCTTCTTTTTTTTTTCGATAGAAAATTCTGAGCAACCCAAAAATAGGATAATGAAGGCCTAATACAGATATGGCAGTGGCGTTGTTTAAGAAACAGAACTATAATGTTAAAGATTTTGTTTCTACGACACTTCCACTGGACACATTCTTCTTTTCTTCAGTATATAGTTAGCATCATGAGTGTATGTATACACACATTTTGCTGTTAGGAAATACATTTTTTTTTTTATGTTTTACAGCTTTTGGGAATGCTTACTTGGTACATTCTCCAATAATTACTATCAAGAAAGAAATTCACAAGAGGATATGATGTAAAAAGCTTAAAATAGCAGCTATGTTATTACAAGTTACTAGCACAGACCTGCTACTATACAATATACAGAGTGAAAAGTGTACTTTCTCAATTTCAGTTCAAACCAACATTTAAGATAGCAATAACAATTCATACATTCCTCCAGGATACACTGGAATATAAAACAAAAAAAGTCAAAAGGCTTCTCTCAGATGCTTGAAACGTAAACCCCTTACAAGCTCAACTCTTCCGAACCCACCAACGCCCAGTGTTGCAATAATCTCAAGGTTCTGGAATGGGGACGATGAGGAAAATCTGGCCACCTTCTCCTTGAGCTGAATCATCTCCAGAGAGAGTGCTTTGGACAGCTTCCAGTTAGACATGGATCTCCTGCACAAGAGAAGTGAAATTTACATACACCCCTTAGTCAAGCAGGGGCTACACCACACATAAATTCCACTCTCACTGCAGTCCTATTTCTGCCGGTAATTACCGCTCATAATTTCCCCAAAAGCTATCTCAGCTTTTATAGGATCAGATTCAGTTATATCTAGGGAGAAAAGCAAGAGAATATACAAACAAAAACCTGAAACATGCACAGTAAGAAATAGACAAATGTCAACTGAATCCCTGAGAGGTAAAAATGGGAGAATTGTCTCGTATTTAAAATATATCTCAATAAAGCAGTTAACATAAAAAGGGGGAGGGGGCTGGCCTGGTGGCATAGTGGTTAAGTTCGCACATTGAACTTTGGCAGCCCACGGTTCACAGGTTCAGATCCTGGGCATGGACCTACATGCCACTCATCAAGCCATGCTGTGGTGGCATCCCACATACAAAAATTAGAGGAAGATTAGCACAGATGTTAGCTCAGGGACAATCTTCCTCAAGCAAAAAGAGAAAAATTGGCAATAGATATTAGCTCAGGGCCAATCTTCCTCACCAAAAAATAAGGAAGAAGAAAAAGAAAGAGTCAGTGAGAGGAAATGAAACCAGAAAGTCATTTCCTTTGCTGCACATACAGTAGAACGCTACACTGATCTTTGCAGTGTTTTGATATTTTGTCACATCTTGAAGCTTTCCATGGCTGAACCAGAATAACTGGTTTTGTGCAACAGGACATATACATTTCTTACTTTCTGTCTACTGTTATTTGGAAATACTCATTTTTTTCTCTTAATTAAGGTTTGCTGCTCTGGATTATATATTCATAAATTGTTCTGACTACAAAAGGTCTTTGGCACAAAAATTGCAAATACATGCCTTGCAAAAAAAAAAAAAAAATGAAGTCCTGACTGAATGCTCTAACTTAACTCAAATGTCAGTTTTCTAAAACTTTTGAGTCTTCAGCTTCGACAGTACCATCTGGTGAATATATTCTTAATTATTCACTCTACAAAATGTTTTAGCAAAGGATTTTCAAATAATTTTAATTTTAAAAAGTAGATTTTTCTATTAAACAAAAATTTTTTCCTTAGTATTACTACATTTAGAGCACTATCCAACTCCTTCCTAGACACACACACACACACACACAGAGCCCTGGCCAAGAGCTCCCTTATATTTGGAAATCATTCTAACTCTACCCCTAGCTCTTTACCTGGAATCAGAATGAATGGGCTACCCTAGTGCGTGGCAATCCTGTTTGATTTCCATGGGCAAGAGCAGCTTCATTTCCGAATTAATGTCCTTTTCAGCTAAGTCACCAGGCAATGTAAAGAATTCCTTTCCCAAGGCCCCCATCAGGAAATTTCTCCCTAACCTTACTGCTCATCGACCAAAGTAACGAGCTGACTACTTGTAGACTAAAATAACATCCATGCTAGTGGTAAGTGGTATCCTTTTTGTAGAACAATTTAAAAGAACACCGCCCCCCCGCAAAAATTTTCTACTGATGGCACACTAAGAGTTACCGCATGGTAAGTCACAACACCGTGTCCCCTTCATCATATCCCACTTAGGAAAATATTCCTCCACTTACTTCGCATGTCTTTTTTCATCATCGCGGTTCAGGTTTGCCACATACCCTTCAAGGTATTTTTGGAGTTCTTCAAAAGTCCCGACTGTTTGGTTGAATGTTCTAAAGGAGTAAAATAAAATAAAATAAAAAGCCCTGTGCTGACAGTTACCATTGCAACTTGACATTCTTCTTAAGCTTATAAAACACTATTTGTATGGTTATTAGCAGCTTTGTAAATTGTTTCTCAATAATTTATGTCACATTAAAGTTGCCATAATATGTAGAATAGTTATTAGAAGTTATATATAATTGATCCTTTGAGTTTATGAAAGCAAAGAGCCTATCAGTGAGAAGAGAATTGTGCAGTTTCCTGCCTTGCAATTCACATTTACCAACAATTGCTCCTTCTTTTTTTTTAAGAAGACAGGAGAAAGGAAATAGTCTACATAATCTGTTTACTGAATCACCAGGTTCATAGGTTACAGATTTTTCTAACTTTTCTTAATCAAATTAAGCTCTTTATTTCAAAAATTCAGAATAAAATTTACCTCTTCTTTGTCCCTAGATAATACTCCTCATTTCACATTCCTTCATACTTAAACCCCAATTTTTACCTTAACTTCGTAGTGCTCTGTCGGAGGCTCAGCCAACATCTTCCCTTGATCTCCCTCACCCTTTAAGGCTCAGGTGTGTTGTGGACCCCATCTGATCTCCCCACCCCCAGCCCACTGTCTCTGGGAATTCTTACATGCAGCACTGCTCAAGGAAAAAATAATCTTCCTTACCAATAAAACATATTTTCTTGATTAGTCTTCCAATGCTTCCCCACCCCAACACTGGACAATCTACCTTGATGTGTGATTTTTAGGGTAGTTCTCTTCCCTATTACAAAATAGTATCCTTCTAGAAACCATATTTTAATCATCCAATAAATCTTAAGCATCTGGACACAGCAAAATGAAAGGAATGAAAATTTACCTCCAAACACCTAAAACTAATAAACCAGAGCCACATCCTTAGTACTGTTGCTACTTACTGCCTGCCTAGCCCTGAAGACCCCTACCCACATTTAACTGACCACCAGTCTATACTTATGTTATTAAGCATATCTTAGATACTGTGCTGTGTATTTTCCATTTTCCCCTCCAGATCTACTCTCCACTCTTTTCCACCCTTCTCTGTGGACTGTCCTTTGTTGACTGCAGAATAGTGAGAAACAAAACAGTACTGCCATGGAATTTCAAGTTTCCAGTGATCGAAATTTTCAAGTAAAAAGGAAAGACTTCTTGTACTTTGTTTTGTTTTTACTTATTCCATACCTGGCCATTATTTTGCCTGCTATTAAACTAACTGAAGTATTGTTGTAAACAAATCTTATTTTTTAAATATAGGTGACACTACTGTCACAAGTCCCTAGACATTCTCCACAAACTAAAGTCAAGTTTAAACAACAACAACATTCTAGCTGTAACATTCAAACAGACTGTATTCATTCTGATGTTATCGCCTGAGGGGTAACTAATCAACTCCTGTGAGATTGTCCCAGCAACCAACAATGATAGAGATGTCCCAAATAATATTTCCCATTTGTTTAGAGCTATTGCCATTTTTCACAATTATTTCACACATTTTTATTACATTTTAAAAATAGGAAATATAGCTCAAACTTTAACTCTCCTTCTTGAAATGTATTCATCCTATGCATTTTTTAAAAGGATGAATTAGGAAAGAAGAAATAAAGAGCCATAGGCTTTCAGTCACAATATTTCATTGCCAGGATGGTGCCCTTCACTCAGCCAAAATCTGGAGCACTTCCCATACGCCAAGGACTATGTCAGATGCTGGCAGTGCAATGGCAGTGAGCAAGTAAATGTTTCTGTAATCATGAAGCTTACAGAAGAGTGGAAAGACAGATATTAAATAAAGCAATTAAACAAAGTATGAATAATGATATGATAAGGAGAGAGAGGGTGCTATGGGAGAATTATAACGGGATCTTAATCTAGTCTATAAGACACAGCTATGATGATCATCTAATTTATCATCCAAACATAGTACTTTTCAGAGTGAAAGGGGGTGCTGATAATAAATACACTGGCATAGCCAGAACTGTCTGAGGAAATCCAGGCTGTAGGTCAACCTTGTCATACCTGATATTCAGCTTCTCACATCCATAAAATAAACCCACGTAACTTTTTATGTCTCGTTGTGCCTAACCCAAGATTTTGTATATTATTGAATCTCAACTATATACACGTAAACTAAACATTTTAAAATTATAAACTTCCAAATAATTTATAAAGTCTATAAAATCACTGCATCCTTTTCATGGATTAGGAATACATGAGATACTGGGCAAATATTTGGTTATGTGATTACAAGAAGAAATAGAGAAGGAGTTCTTCCTTTCTATCATATTTTTAACCCTAGCATTTTGGGGCAATTTATAAGATTTAACCCCACAGCTAATGCTATTCACTGCATGCATATATTTTTAAGGAACTCAAACAATGCATTATCGGGACAATATTGTACAAACATATTTTCCATTTAAGAGCTGGCATCCAAAGATTACCTGTATCTGAACACACTTTGCACTTTCTAGCACTGTACCTTTGTTTTAAAGTTTTACTCCACCTGGAGTGACTTCTTGATTTCCTCTTTGCCTAGAAAACTCCTATTAATTTTTAAGCCTCGTTTTCTCACTTAAAAATAAAATAAAGCCTTGCAATTGTGATTGCTTCCCTTCCTGAACCCATGCTATGGGAGCCAAATGGCACAGTAGAAACAATGCGGAAAGGAATGGGGAGACCTGGGCTGTAGCAGTGCTCCAGCACAGATGGCACTGTTGGGGCAATTCATTAGCCGATCTGCGACTAACTTTTCCTATCTGTAAGGGAGAGATGAAAATAACTCAAAGTGATATTAAGAATTCCTGTTCTCTCTTTTTATGTAAGGATATTTCATCTTGAAGAGTATCTGGCTGTTTGGGGCTAATTATTTCTAATTTTCTTTTTACTAAAAAGCTGCCTGTTGGACCAGCAAAAAAGTCATGGTGTTGTAGCGTCAGGGCAAGTTTCTAACCAGTGGACCAGGCTACTAAGAAGAAGGCAGGAAGAACCCCGATGCATGTCTCACTCTGAATACATGGTCATTACTGACTGTAACTTTGGGAACAGCTGTCATTGCGTACTCCTCTGACCACGTGGCTTTTTCTGGTGGAATAACGATGGGCACCAAGGCATTTTTGTTGTTGTCCTAACTGGAGCACTAGCCCTGTGTGTAGTGAGCCAGAACTCACAGACAACGTTACACGGCGAAGACTGGAAGCAGGAAGGAGAGGCAGAAGGACCCAAGGCAGTACAGAGCCGTCAGTGATGAGGGACCAATAACCAGCACCTGGCTATACTGGATACTAAACCCTGATATCCTTGTGCCTTTGAAACTTTAAGTCTCATGAGCATTGATTTTTACATACAAATAAAATCTGGCTTCTTAAAAAAAAGAGAGAATTACTGTTCTATGTGTGATGATGGATGTTAACTACACTTATTGTGGTGATCATTTCACAATATATACAAATATCAAATTATGTTGTACACCTGAAATATGAGGTTATGCATGTGTCAATGATATCTCAATAAAAAATAAATGAAAAAAGAAGTATTGTTAACTTTTTGGGCATGTTAATGTTATTGTGGGCTTGCATTATAAATAATACTTAGCTTTTAGAGATGCTACTAAAATTTATAGATGAAATAATTTTACATTTGGAAGTTGCTTGACAATAACGTGGGGAAGGCAAGGAGGGGTGGTGAAGTGGTATAGATAAGGCATTAATTGATAATTGTTGAACTTGCATTACAGGGTTCATAATACCATCCTATTTTTTAATATGGCTCAAATTTTCCATAATAAAAAGATTTTTTAAATCTTATAAAGTTCTTTCCAGCTCTAAATCTCTAAAGTTCTTCATTCAATAAATATTGTATTCAATTAGCAATCAATGACATACTCCCTTGTGATACCTCTTGTCACTTTATTATTTTTTGTTAATATTTCATGAGTATGCTCTATTTCTTTGACTACACTATGACTTTTCTTAGACAATGGCCTAGCTTTGGTATATTTGAAATTTCGATTATTACATCTAGATTATCAATAAATATTCAACTGATTAATGAGAGATCCAAGTGGCCAGATTCAAATATAATTTGAAGTGAGTTAAGGACACAAAATGAGACTTATTCTGAAAAATAACCCAAGACATTTAAAGATTAATATTGACATACAACATTTGCAAATTACTAGAAATATTCAATTAAAACTTCTCTGGAAATATATACAGTTAATGAGCATCTCATATTTTGTCTGAGAGAGATAGGTTTTGTTTAAAAAATTTTTGGCTACTTGTAGTATTTTAGAAATAAATCATGAAATTGTTCACTATATTGTGTTGGGAAAACATCCATAAGAGTATATTACTAATAAGCTTATTTCTCTGGAAGAGGCAGAATTTAAATCAGTCTATTGCTGATATTTATGTACGAACTTTGCACACAAAATATTTAGCCTGCCAGCATCTGCCACTGCCACAGACAGATTCAGATCAGAAGGCCCAGTTCCTTCCCATGAATTTTAATAGAATGTACTCGCAGCTGAGGATTGGCCCGCATTTCCAAGTGGTGATGAATGAGAAGACAGATGGGCTCCTGGAGTAACAGAAGGCCAACTCTTCAAAGGTGGCACTATCCTGCCTTCTCTGGCAACATCAGTATACTCACTCTCGATCTATAACCAGGCAGGCGACATCATTTTCTTCAGCTATGATGTTAGCTGATCTGACATCTTCACTGCAGACAAAAACAGGAAAGTCAATTTCCTACAGTTAGAAAACAGTTAAACCTTCCAAAGACTATGCTTTTTTTAACATCATAATTTATATTCCACCTCTTTCCAAAAAAAGGACTTGAAATGTGTCCCAATAAAGGTTATGTACACAAGGAATTTAGAGGAGAAGAAGAAAATTGCAGTGGGAACATGGAGGAATCAGTGACTTCAGCTGTGTATGGAATCTCACTCTGCACTTGTCAGCCAAAACAAAATAGCTCTCATTGGGCTCACACGGGAATTGCTAATTAATAAGCAGGCAAAACGGAAATTAACTGATCAAAGACACTTATTTGAAAAATATTCAAGTAATTAATATATAATAAATCAATCAAGAATAAAACCCAAAGAAAGTGTTTTGGGTGCCATATCACTCAATGAATTAAATAATACTAAAATACCTTCATTCCATAGAATCTAAGATGTACATTTTCTATTAGAATCTCTGAAATCAGAGCATGTCTTACAATCGATAATGAGTCATTGTGTCATTAAGAGCATCGTCTTTCTTTCCCAGGAATACATAATATAATGATGCATCTTACAATCAATAACTTAAATACAATGAATTATGGCTTATGATCCAATGGTGGTAAATTTAATTACCTAATGAATACCAATGGGTCAAGCATCAGGTAAAGTATTTCTTTAGACTGTTATTGATGTTAGTTTCCTCCCTCTGTTGTTATGAACTAAAGACACTGAAAAAAGTTACACCCATATGGTACCCAGTGCTCTGAGATTCATTTAAGGTCAGCTGGAGCAGCAAGCATATTGAGACTGCTCTAAGCAACTTCATAAAAAATGGCATCACACAAAGTAGAGTTCTTTTATTTTCCTTCGTGATGGGACAGGGAAAACCCTGTCAGCCCACCTCTACCATTCCAAAGAAGTCCCCCATCCACATAGCTGGCATCCAGAGACCTTGTGACAAACCCGCAGTCCCTCCCAAGCTTATAGGGTCCTTGCTAGAAGGCATGAGTGAAAGCAGTTCAGCTTCATGGGCTTTTGAATTGGGAGCTGGGTAATTTGTACTGAACTTGCATGTTTGTAGATATCTATAGATATATAGCTATAGATATGATCTTGGATGTAGAGAAGTATAGCATCCTTTTCACTTGTCAGTGTCATCATTTTGACTAGGAATATTTTCTGCAAACACTTTATAAGTATTAGATGTTTACAAATACACATATGTTTCTTTCACAAGAACTGTAAGTGCCGTGGACTTATTTTTGCACATAAAATTCTGAAAGAACTCCTGGGACTATTTAATGTCAAGTCATGGAAATATATAGAATATAAGGAACATTGAGTCATAGTCAGTGGCCCTAAAAAGCGACAGCATAAAAATGCACAAAACTGTAGAAATATTTGTATCCAGCTCTCCTTCACATTGATTTTAGCTTTATGCTTTCAAATGCTTAGGGGATTTGGGTGTCTATATTAAGTATAAATTCCCATGTTTCTCATGGGAAAACACTGTAACTGGCTAGCTGCAACATACAGCATAAATTATTTCAGACCCAGCAAAACCAGACAGCATATTTCCTTTCAAGAGTTATTTTGACTCTATAGCACATTTATAAAGTTCTCTGCACTTTTGAACTTTAGTTGTTTTGCTTGGAGGCATGAGAAAAATAATCTGTGAATGCTAAGAACAAATACATTGAAGTCTTGAATAATGATATTACATGATTACATTGCATGAGTGTATTCTATTTTGCCACAAACAAACAAAGGACAATTTCCCCATTATTGAAATAAGTTCATTACCACCTAGAAAATGGAAAGTAAAATTCAACTTGTCTTTAAAATTTCATTTTTGAATTGTTTAGTAATAGCTGTAACTTACAAAGTTTAAATACTTGGATTTTCTTTTTTAAAAAAAGAACTCCATGATTTTTAAATAATGAAATTTGTCTTCAGATATGAATTTATGAAGACCTTTTCTTTGCTCTTTACTTATGTAATCCTGACATACAAATCAGCAGAACTAGGCTTCCCAGAGAAAAGGTAGGAGGAAGATAAATGAACAGAAATACCACTCCTTTTTATAAGCATAAATCTGAAACAAAATCATTTAGTCATAACATACATTTTTATAGATTTCTTAACTAATTTCAAGTATGCATTTAAAAATATATATAACTCCAAAAAGTATGTTACTCAAACTTTAACTTGATCTTTTATAAAGTTATTAATATTTAAGAAAATGTATGTCTTCAGACTTAAGGTTGTTTTCTGAGTTCCAGGAAGAACAAAGTATCTCCTGAGCCATTTGATTAATTTTTATAAATATTTCTTCTATAAGTTAGATCAACAGTAAATAGACTCATATCTCAAAAGACCTAAGGTTCAGGTAGAAATTTCAAATACACTATTTTGAGTTGTTTCTGAGCTGATAAAAATTCTTAAGAAAATATTACCTTTGGCATGATGATTTAAAAACACACAAACTATGTAAAGTCATTTATTTGACAATTTTTTTAAAAGGAGGAAGAGAGGGCAATATTTCAAACCTTGGAAATATAAAAACTCATTCTTAAGGGAAGATTATAATTTTCACTTCTGTAATCTCTTTCTCTTTTTTAAACTAAAAGAGACTTTTTTAAACTAAAAATTCTAATAGAACTCCAATTTTATTTTCACTAGCAAACTGAAGACTTTCCGATTTATTTCCTGTGCAAAATTAGTATACTTCTTTGCTGCATAATACTGAAGTTTTTTAGAAGTCAGGTTAAAATTTTTGTTTAATTCCTGGACTGCCATTAGTTTGGTAGCTTAATTTAACAACTCTAAATCAGTAGTTGCATACACAAAAGAGTCAAAGAATTATTTAAGTATGGTATATAAATTCACAGATTCACCTGATAAGAGCTTTTTCTCCAAAGTATTCTCCTTTCTGCAGTGTTTTTATCAGTTGTGGTTGATCGTGGCCCTCTGTACTCTGGGTGACTTTTACCTAAACGATGTCAAACAATTAAAAGCAGAGAGAGAAAAGAAAAGGAGCATCTGAACGTATATCCATCCAAGCACATCCCCCAGATCTCTATAAACTTGACTCAATAAGGAAAAAAAGACAAGTCTTTGCTTAAATTTTGCCAAAGTTAGGACAATCTAACCACAGTCTGCTCCGGATGGACTGAGAAATCCTGTGATTTAACACAATCAAATGACTCCACCCTCTCTAAGAGGAAGATTCTCCATTTAAACCCCACCTCCCAAAGCTAAAAATTTTATGTGAATCCAGTGACTCCTTCCTAGGGATCCTCAAAGCACATAATAATGGTCCTGTGGGAACTTTATTTCAAAAAGCCAAACAGAAATGACGAATGAAGAATAAGACTGAGTATGAGGAGTTCTGAATCTGGTATCCACCACCGACTCACTGAATCCTGGGGGCCCTCTAAAACTGAACAAAAAATGTGGATACGGAGAAGGGTCCACAGCTTTCATGTGTGTCTCAATGTGATCCACGGCCCAGGAAGGTTTACGAACCCACATGGCAGAGCCAAACAAAAACTTCACCATTGTTTGTGGCTAGAATTATTCCAATTCAACATAGTAACAAGGGTTGCTTCATGCTGATTAGAAATTCTGATTACCATTTATCTAAATTACAATGAACTAAAATTTAAAAAAATAAATACATGCAATCTGTTTATTAGGCAGAATTCTTTCAAAGCATGGGGTCCAGGCTGGGGAGAAATGATAAAAAGCGTTTCTGAGCGTTGAAGAGTTTCTGAGGTTTGAAACTATTTTGTTAATTTTTTTCCTTTACTGGGGGCCCAGTTCAAAGTTCAACCATAAACCAGTTTACCGAGGGCAGTGCCTGACTCTCTGATGATAAACTCTTCCGTGGAAGAAAGGACATTTGTGAAAGTCCGACAGTTTATAGACACACGTGCTCAAGTCTACTCTTTCCTGCAGAATTTCACAAATGCTTTTCTTCTCTGAGGAGCATTGTTAAGAGTCAACATAGGAGCGACTGGCAACACGTTACCCACCCAACATCTAGGTAAAGATCTATTGCATATATTAGTATAAAATCTTCATCAGCATCTAAATCAACTTGAGCTATTGTATGAAACAAAGTTCTGAGCCATATCGTTCTACAGCTTGATGTCTGGACACTGCTATCCTCAAATGCCAAGGTCATTCTCCTCTACCTGCTGCTCGTCATATCTGTTCGACAGAAAAATGTTCCAGCCCTCATCTAGGACCCTTGGGCTGACTGAGAATCACACCCTCACAGCTAGAAAAAACCTTAGAAATCATCCAGTCACTTTATACACAATGAGACAAGGTCCAAAGAAAGTCAAGTGACCTGCCTAAGGTCACCAAGAAGTTACTGTCTCAGCTGGAACCCATCACAAGTGTTCTGTGCCGCCAAACCCAGCATTCAGACCAAACCCTATAGGTCTCTTCTGGGAAGAAGCTCCTTCACCAGTCACCGAAGAAGACCTCTTAGGATGCGATGCAGAGCACCGCTGTGTTGATGGCAAACTGACTTGAAAAAACTTTTGATTTACGTGAAGTAAGCTTTAACTAATATTTACCTTTCCTTTTGCTAAAATGAAAAAGGTACTTCCTTCCTCGCCCTCTCTAATAATGTAATCTCCTTTGTCATAGTATTCCTGTTGGGATGAGAGAAAAAGAAAAGGTTAGATCCAGTGAGGACATACAGATGAAGATATAAGGAAATAGAACAGCTTGTGTCTCTGAAATCAGCATTCCACACCTGTTTCTTTTATCTTTTTCCTTATTATAACTGTAATCTTTTTTTTAACATTGCAGTGGTAAACTGTGAAAAAGTAAGGATACTTTGGATTTATCTGAATTTATGTTTATCTTTCACAGAAAAAATTCCCCCGGAATACTGAATTTCAGGCATGGACATTGACGACATGAAGAGAAAGGAGAGCAAGGCAATCACCACTGATACACGGGTCAGCTTCCACCTAAATAATCGAAATATAAACCATTTCATGATCTGCAACAGTCTGAACTAGGTCTAGAGTTTAGAAAAAGAACAAATAATTATCTAACAAATTGAAAATACTACCCTCATTGGATATTAGGAACATCAGCCCCAATTTCTAATCCCTTGAAGAGCAGCTGCTTAGAAAATTCTACACACACAGTAAACAGCTCTTTCATATGGATTCTTTCTAAAGATTTATCATCACAAAGATTGACATTGGAACTTTTTACATATAAATTCTATTCTTCAATGTAGGTTTATCCTCATGAAATCTCAAATTGTCACGTCTTTCTTTCTTGCCCTCATACGTGTGTGTGTGATCAGAGAATTCTTGGCCAGAGAAAATTCATTCACCTGTCAGACCAAAAGAGCAATTCAGTCTCTTAGAAAACAAAACATGGATTAAACTGTCCACTTGTACTTGGCTTTAATTTGATATTGTCTCAAAGTCATAGAACTAAAATAGATCTCTTAAGTATTTATACAAACAAAAATGGGCTTGTTTAATTTTTTAAGAGGTCCTAATTAACAACATAATAGCTCTCTCTTGTTTTTCTTTTAGGCTTGAAAATAAAATCCAAACAAAACTACTTTTGTATCTGCTATATTTCAATATCATTTTGGTCATTTACTCTTAAAACCTATTTATATTTATGGAATAAATATTACTCCTAATACTAACAAACATATCTTTTACTTAAATAGCACGATGTACATTTTACAAGACATTTCAACATTTCAGGGAAGGAAACAAAATATCTTAGGGCTAAAGTCCTTTGAAGCCAAAGAGATCTATATTCAAATCCCAGTTCTTCTTGGAATTTCACTTCCACCAATTCATAAAATTCACATACGAACATTCACCTTCAAAGGATTTAGAGAAGAGAAGCACATTAGTTTTCTACTGCTGCTGTAACAAATAACCACACAGCACGTGGCTTAATAACAATACCCATTTATTATTTCCCAGTTTCTTTGGGTCAGAGTCCAGGCACAACATGGCTCAACTAGACTTCTCTGCAGAGGGTCTCTCAAGACTGAACTCAAGGTGAGTAGGGCTGTGTTCCTTTCTTGAGGCTCAGGGGAAATATCTGCTTTCAAGCTCATTCAGGTTGTCAGCAGAATTCAGTTCCTCACGGTTGTAGGATAAGGTCCCATTTCCATGCTGGCTGTCAGCCAGGGGCTGCCCCTTAGCTCCCAGAAACCAGAGACCTCTCTCTGGTCCTTGCACAGAGACCCCTAAGTTTCAGAACCAGTAATGGCACATCTTCTTATGTGAGAAGAAATTCTTTTTACATTTGGAATCTCTCTGACTTCCAATTCTGCTGCATCTCTCTGGCTCCAGCCAAAGAAAATTCTCTGCTTTTAAGGGCTCATCTAATTATACTCAGCCCACCACAATAATCCAGGATAATCTCCCAACTTTAAGGTCCTGAACCTTAATTGCATCTTCAAAGTCCCTTTTGCCATGTAACATAATATATTTACACATTCCAGGGATTGGGGTTTGGACATTTTTTGGGGGGTCCATTCTGCCTATCACAATAAGCCAATTAAAGACATTGTTTTTTGATGAATTAAAAGCATCTAAAACATAGTGAGCCTTCAATTAGTGATTGCCATGTTAAGGAGGAGCATCATGGTTTGCTTAGCTGGTACTTCAATCCTCTACACCTCAGTTTCCTTTTCCGTAAAAATTAAGATGATATGACCTAAGGACAGTGTCAGGGTGGCAGCGTAAGCAGACTCCGAACTAACCTCCTCCCACGGACACAACAAATTTACAAATACTGTTGGAACAAGTACCCCTGAGAGAGAACTGAAAACTGGATAAACAGAATCCCCGCAACAAGAGACAGTGGTTACTGAGGTGGAAGAGGCAGAAATTCCTTTCTGGAGAGAAAAAACATCACCATCATGAGCCACATTGCTTCACAGCCAGCTGGGAGCAATCCTAAGATACAAAGCCTTCCCTGGAGGAGTGGGGGATCTGAGTGGGAGAGCGTTACAGCTATAAGTAGCTTTTGGACTCAGCACAATCAAGACAAGTGTCATAATGTCTGGCTTTGCTGGCTACTAACAACAACGGGGAATACCCCCAGAAAAGCTATCTAACATAAGGAAAAAAAAAGCCTGCTCTTAAAGGGCCCATGCACAAATTCACTCATTTCAGAAAGCAACTTAAAAAAAAAAACAGAAAGAAAGGTGCACAATCCTTTGCTGTAAAAGAGATTCACCTGATAGGCTCTGGGTGCATCTCAGTGAGAGATGAGACCTCTCCAGGGACTGAGACATTGGTGGCAGCCATTATTGTGACCTAGTACAGGTGTGCTCACACAGACGATGGCAGATGCCATTAGAACTTTTCCCTTGGCCTCTTAGCCCAGGAATCTGCCCTACCCACTAGAGCACCAATTAAACCCAGCTCCGCCAGGACAAGCAGCCCACCCGAGTGACCAGCCCCACCCAACAGCAAACCCTGGGCCTGCATAGGCCAGGAGCCTGGAACCTCTGCAGCCAGGCCAGTGGCTCTGCCTCTGTGGGGCAGGCCTGACCTGGTGGAGTGTGTGGGGACTCTACAGCAGGGATGCAGGGATGGTTCAACATCCACAAATCTATTGATGTGACACATCACATTAACAAAATGAAGAATAAAAATCACATGATCATCTCAATAGATGCAGAGAAAGCATTGGACAAGATACAGCATCCATTTACAATAAAAACTCCGAATAAAATGGGTATAGAAGGAAAGTACTGCAACATAATAAAGGCCATATATGACAAATCCACAGCTAATATAATTATAAATGTAGAAAAACTGAAAGCTATCCCTCTAAGAACAGGAAACAGACAAGGATGCCCACTTTCACTGCTCTTATTTAACAGAGCATCAGAAGTGCTAGCCAGAGCAAGCAGGAAAGAAAAAGAAATAAAAAGGATCCAAATTGGAAAGGAGGAAGTGAAACTGTCACTATTTGCAGACAACATGATTTCATATATAGAAAACCCTAAAGAATCCATCAAAAAGCTTCCAGAAATAATAAATGAATATGGTAAAGTTGCAGGATACAAAATCAACATACAAAAATCAGTTGTGTTTCTATACACTAACAACAAAGTAGCAGAAAGAGAAATTAAGAATATAATCCCATTTACAACTGCAACAAAAAGAATAAAATACCTAAGAATAAACTTAACCAAAGAGGTGAAAGATCTCTACACTGAAAACTATAAAACACTGTTGAAAGAAATTGAAGACACAAAGAAATGGAAAGATATTCCATGCTCTTGGATTGAAAGAATGAACATAGTTAAAATGTCCATACTTCCTAAAGCAATCTACAGATTCTACGCAATCCTTATCAAAGTTCCAATGACATTTTCCACAGAAATAGACCAAAGAATACTAAAATATATATAGAACAACAAAAGACCCCGAATAGCCAAAGGAATCTTGAGAAAAAAAGAACAAAGCTGGATGTATCACACTCCCTGATTTCAAAATATACTGCAAAGCTATAGTAACCCAAACAGCATATGTGGTACTGGCACAAAAACAGACACACAGATCAATGGAACAGAATCGAGAGCCCAGAAACAAACCCACACACCTATGGACAGCTAATTTTCTACAAGGAAGCCAAGAACATACAATGGAGAAAGGAAAGTCTCTTCAATAAATGGTGTTGGGAAAATTGGACAGCCGCATGCAAAAGAATGAAAGTAGACCATTATCTTACACCATACACAAAAATTAACTCAAAATGGATTAAAGACTTGAATGTAAGACCTGGAAACATTAAACTTCTAGAAGAAAATATAGGCAGTACATTCTTTGACATCAGTCCTAGCAGCATATTTTCAAGTACCGTGTCTGACCAGGCAAGGGAAACAAAAGAAAAAATAAACAAATGGGGCTACATCAAACTAAAAGCTTCTGCACAGCAAAGGAAACCACCAACAAAAGGAAAAGACAACCTAACAACTGGGAGAAGATTTTGCAAACCATATATCTGATAAGGGGTTAATATCCAAAATATATAACAAACACATACATCTCAACAACAAAAAAACTAAAAACCCAATTAAAAATGAGCAACAGATCTGAACAGACATTTTTCCAAAGAAGATATACAGATGGCAAACAGGCATGTGAAAAGATATTCAACATCACTAACTATCAGGGAAACATAAATCAAAACTACAATGAGATATCCCCTCACTGCCTATCAGAATGGCTATAATTAACAAGACAGGAAACAACAAGTATTGGAGAGGATGTGGAGAAAAGGGAACTCTCATACACTGCTGGTGGGAGTGCAAATGGGTGCAGCCTCTATGCAAAACAGTACGGAGATTCCTCAAAAAATTAAGAATAGAACTGCCATATGATCCAGCTATTCCACTGCTGAGTATTCACCCAAAGAACATGAAAACACGAACGCATAAATATACATGCACCCTTATGTGCACTGCAGCATTAGTCACAATAGGCAAGACTTGGAAGCAACCTAGGTGCCTGCGAAGGGATAAATGGATAAAGAAGATGTGGTACACATACGCAACAGAATATTACTCAGCCACAAAAAAAGATGAAATCTGGCCATTTGTGACAACATGGATGGACCTTGAGGGTATTATGCTAAGCAA